ATATTAAGGCCAGTATGGAAAAAGCTGAAAAAATACCTAGTGACAATTTTTTCTTCCTTTTTTTTATTTAAGTTAGAAACAACCTTGCTTCACATGTCAATCCCAGCTCTCTCTCCCTCCCCTCCTGCCCCACCCCCACTACCAGGCCCCCCACTCCCCCATCCAATCTCCACTCCAATCCCCAGGGAGTGTGAGGCCCTCCATGGGATATCCAGAGCCTGTCATTTCATCCAGGGCAGGACCTAGGCCCTCCCCCAAGAGTCCAGGCTGAGAGATCATCCCTCATTGTGGGATGGGTAGCCAAAGACTGTTTGTGTGCCAGGGACACATACTACCCAAGGGCCCATAGATTACCTAGGCCTCCTCACTGACACTCATATTCAGGGAGTCTGGATCAGTCCCATGCTGTCCACCCAGCCATCAGTCTTGTGTCCAAAGGCTCCCCCTTGTTCAGGTCAACTATTTGTGTGGGTTAAATCACCTTCTTAATCCCTTTGCTCATCAGTTCTCCCTTTCTGTCATTGGATTCCAGTTCAGTGTTTAGCTGTGGGTGTCTGACAATTTTTAAAAAGAACAAAATAAATTAAGAGGAATTCCATGACAATGTACAGGAGGAATCAATGTTGTCTAGAGAACAAATTATTCTAACTTGGCATGGATCAATATAATCCATGTACAAAGCCTGGTGAGTCATATTGTTGCTTTTAAAAAAACTAATTCTAAAGATTAGAAATAATGAGTATCAAAATTTAGTATGGTTAATGTTGAAGAGCAACAACAATGAAATAATAATAATAATTAATAATATTGGGAGACTGATACTACCTGACTTCAAGACTTCCTCAAAACCTGTAATAATCAAGGTAATATGATACTGGTAAGAAAATTATAGGTAGCTAAACAGAACAAAGCAGTCTTCTCAGACTTTGACACACAGAAATATAGTCAACTAGAGAGAAGATACCATATTCAGCAAGTGGTGTTCAAATAGCTGGCTACCTCACACAATGAAACCATTAGGATAGGTTTGTTTTAGTCTTCAGAAAAACTAGTTCAAAATGAATCATATTCATAAATTCAAAATGCAAAGCTGTAATGTTATAAGAAAATAACCTGGAATGACATCAGGCAGCAATGACTTTAGACAGAACACTGAAGGCAACTTGTACAGAAGAAAGAATTATATAACCATCACAGTTCACTAAAATTAATTTTTTTATCTGAGAAGTGTACTGTCAAGACAATAATAAGAGAAAGCATTACTTGACAGAAAGTAATTACCAAAGATGTAGCTGTTGAAACACTGCTAGGCAACATATAGAAAGAAATCTTAATATTCCACATTTATAAAAACAGTCAAAACTGCACCCAATGATCTTGACATACATCTCACCAAAGAAGATTTATAGATGGCATATTAACATAGTGAAGAATGTTCCACATTAGATGTCAGGAAACGGCAAATGGAAAGAATGTGAAGGCACTGCACACCATTAGAAATGTTGAGATCTAGAATGCTAACTGGGGTTAGGTCCTGGCAAGGATGTGAAGCAACAATCCTGAAATGAACTATTGATTGAAATGCAATGTGGCATAGACACTGTATAAGAGAGTGAAACAATTTGTTATAAAACAGTGTGTCCTCACCATATGACCCAGCAGCAATGGAAGCTTGCAAGCTCTATATAAACCTGCACGTGGGTGTTTATCATGAGGCTATTTTAAGAATTGTTAAATCTTTGTAGCAGCTAGATGATTTTGTGAGGCTAAATAAGAAAACTGTGAGACATTTGGACACTGAAATACTACTCAGTAATGAAAGGCCATTTTCTGTAAAACTGTAACAAGACATGTGTTGCTGTCTCTTGACAAATACTTCACATCACACACATGTAATTTTACTGAACTATTATGAACAATAAAAAGGCAGTGAAGCTCATTGCCAATATAGACCATTACATGCCAACATCTTGACATTCTGGAAAAGGCAAAACTATAGTAACCATAAAAAGATTGGTCACTGCCAAGGGTTGAGAAAAAAAGGCATATGTGGGTGATTTAGGGGTAACTAATGCAGCTGTCTTGTGGAAAATTGAAACAACTGGGGGTCTCTGTACATGTGAAAGACGTACAGGCAGTGTACCTTGGGATTTTCTAAAATATATTGTTGTGAACTTCAGAGTGCTATGAGAATAAATTCCATTTAAATGATTCACCCCTTCCCATACACACATGCAAACAAAACTTGTATAAATTATCTGCCCACAAATAAACTGACAAGATAAAATTGATACACATTTTGTATACTCTTCTGTTTCTACGTGAAATTTTCATCCATATATCTTTTAATAATTTAATAATCAGCTCCAAGACATTTTACCCACATCAATTCTGTAATCACAAATTAAATTCAAAATATTTGTTTGCAAAGCCAAAACATCATTTTACATATTTAGATTCAGCAAAGTGTGTAAGTTGATAATTTAGGTAATTGAAAGAGAATATTCACTCCTTGTGTAAACCTACTCACTGCTCTGAACTCTCCTTTTGCAGTTATCATTATGCACCTGTGTACCAGACATTTCCCTTAACTCCATCTCTCTGGTCAACCCCATTCTCTCCAAACCAGTATCTATTTCAGGAGTCAAATAGTCACACACTGGGAACCTATTCCCTATAAGACTTCAGACCTATGATTTGACTCTAATTTTTGCAAGACTTGCTATAACCTCATGCTTGAGTGTCATATGGATGAACTGCACAGTAACCTACTATTTTACCTGGGCCAAGAATTGCACTCTTCAAATGAGCTGTCACTTAAACCTTTCAGTGTATATTTTAGTTCCACTGTGCTATACATGCCAGCGATGCTAGAAGTCTCCTGATATGATGGAGAGTGGTCTATTTCTTTCAACAGAGATAATTAACACTTTGTATAGCAATTTCATTTGCTATCTTGCCACTTTTCTTCTGTGATCTAAAAAGCTCCAGTCCTACTGCCAGCTGTGTGGTGATTCCTCTGTCTACAAGTGTTCTGCTCAATAGCCACGAAACCACCACTCTCAGACCTGCAGTCACCACAGCCCAATGGAGAAAATTTCTTTCTCTGTGAGGAGTGGTACTCATCTTTTCTCAAAATGACTTTGAGGGCCATAAACCCTTGCCACTGACACCTATTCCCTGCTACCATTGGTGAACAAGGAGTACTAACACTGCTTCCCCTTCTAACGACTTATTCTCTATCATAAAGAACATGCTCATTTTTTTCTGTCACTTGTGGTCCATGGCTTAGATTTAGTCTTTTCCCCTTTTAAAATTTCTTGTCTATCTCTTTCAGCACCCCTCAATATTCAGTCTTTTGTCATTCTGTTTTCGCCTACTGTAGCGAAAACCCAAACCTTCTATGAATAGTCTGATTCTACTTTCCCATTTTTAAAAGCTGTTTTAATTTTGGTTATGCCTGCAAAGTTATATATCTGTACTCCTTGCTCCTAGAGAACTTTTTATTGAGTCTTCCCAAAGATTCTGGTTCTTTTTCACATTGTGGGAATTCACATTATAATATAAATTACTAAAACTACTCATTTTCAATGGTCTGAGATTGTGTTTCCTAGTCGCATTTGTGGAATAATCATGGTATTTGATAAGTTATGGGGAAGAAAATATTAAGAAATGTGATTCTTTTAAGACCAAGTCTCTTAAAGAAGCCTGTTTTCTCTGTCCCAATGTTGCTAGCAATAGAGAGATAATAAGGCAAGACTGGGAGATATTGAAGCGACAGGAAAGAACCAGGCTAGGTCAATAAATCAGCAGGTAGATGAAATGTAGTCATTCACTGGCCAGAGACACATGCCCTGGGCAAGAGACAATACTCCCTGTCAATAAAGTGCTCCTTTTTTGAGACATTGTGGAATTATTTTTGTATCAAGCTGTTAATAATCTTAGCTGTAAATAGCAAATTCCTTTCCATTGACTTCTATTGATCTCTGGTATTTTAGAATTGTGCATATTATGTACATTTTCTATATCAATTCTAACCCTAGTTTTGTCTTAAGAAACCTTAATATCTACTTATACATGATCTAAAATAAATATATCTGAATGTACATCATCAGAATAAACAGGAGAGTGGATGAATGAGTATAAGTGAATTTGTCTGATTTCTCATAATCCCATACACATTTGGAGTAAGTATTTGTGTCTGCATTATATAAGAGAAAGAAATCTGGAGTTTAGATCCAAACAGGCAGAACTCAGTCTCAAATGTAGGTTTTCTCAATTTAACTAACTCTTACCTGCTCATTATCTTTCCATATTGAGCTTCATGGCACATATTTTATTTAACTTGTAATAGACTCAGAATTATCTTCATTTTTAAAGAAATTGTCTATAAATGTAGAAAGTATAGTCCCTTGAATGCATTCAAATATTTTCAAAACTGTCTTGTTAGTTAGCAGTATTTTAAGAATTATTTCAGTTTTGTTCATGGAAATGTTACATATATATAATACAAGTTAGTATTGATGCTAAGATATAGCGACACTGTCAGTTTGTAAGAGGAAAAGGGATTTAAGCACAAAACAATGATGTAGAGTTTTGAATTGTTGTTGTCTATCATTATCATGCATGTTTTCCATATGGAAATAGTGAGCTAAGCAGATATATATATATACATATATATATACTAAAATAGAAATTGTTAGCACCCTTATTTTACAGATAAGAAAATGGAAGAATGAGAGGAAACTATCAAAGCCTAGAGGCAAATCTTATTTCTGCAGAATTTCAAAAATGCTGCACATTACATCACTTTCTGAATTTGTAGTTAAGGCTTCTATTTTGAGCCTTTGCCAAATGTAGAGTGGACCAAAGAGTTTTTTTAATTACAAATAGGGCCTGATAATTAGTGATTTTGATTACTGTCAGATGGAGAAAGTGAACAATATATACATTATCAAAGTTATCTCAGAATATATAAGGAACAAATTATTTTGTCTTACCCATGAATTCAATCCCCAAGTGGTCTGCTACATCAAGGTCAGCATGGAAAGAAGAGAAACAGAAAGAGATATAGGTTAGAAAAAAATCAAAACAAGGGCATCAGTGCTTGTTAGACAATCCTTCTAAGACACTATATATGTGTCTAGTTTAAGTATGTTAGCTTATGGGATGTAACTTGTAGACAGCCAACAGTAATAGTTCTTGGTATTGTCATACATATAAAATCTTGACATTTTAGTGGAACAACAATGCATAAACAGTGAAATATACTAAACCAAAATTTAAGAGAGAAGGATCAAAGAGTTCCTGGTAAAGATATTGTCATAATTAAATCTTTGTTCAACGTGAATTTATTTTTACCTTAACATTAGCAATAATGACAAAGTCCCAACCAGGGTAGGAATGACTATAATGCAGTCAACTTCATTTTCACACACACACACACACACACACACACACACACACACACAAAAGGATGGCACTAGACTTCTTTCTTGGACATGATATACTACATAACTGTGCAGTGGCAAAACCAAACATCTTACGTAGGTCACAAAGTCTTGGATAGATTGAAGGCATAAATCCAAAGCACGTGACCCAGAAGCTACATGACTGTTTGTCTTGACAACTCATCCCATCAAAAAAAAAAAAAACATGGCAGAGATATCACCATCTGTTCTGTGCGCCCACAGACACAGAGAGTCTTGAACAGCTAGCTAGTCTGCCAGCAGAGTCCAGAGGCAGACATGTTGTTCCTAGGAGAGATGGAAGTTACTATGCAAAATAATTAGATTTATGAGATAAAGTGACAAGCACATGCTCATGTTTTTTCTGCAGAGAAGCTTCCAACTGTGTGCTCCTGAAACATGGAAAGGATATTGCACATACAGAATTTTAAAATGAGGTTTGAGTAAGATTAGCTATCATGAAAGGTAAGGTGGTTTAAAACACAGAAAATGACACAATTTGTCATTTGCACACAAACAGAAACAAAAGAAAATCAGGAAACAGGAAAATGTAGATATGATCAAGCGGAGGCTCTTTTGTGGACCCCAGGTATTCACCGGCTGAGTTCCTCCAAGAGGCCTCAGACAGAGGCCCTTACAGAGTAGACCATAGTTCACAGGTAGAGGCTCTCAAGGAGCAGACCACGGGTATTTACAGGCAGAGGATGTCAAGAGTGGGCTACAGATATTCACAAGCATAAACCTGAAGTCGGGAGAACCCTAGTCTCAACTTGGTTGAAAAAGACCTATCTAGGAAAGCTGACATGAATCAACACTGAAATCTGAGTCTGGGTAGTTGACTAGTGCATAACAAGGAGTCAGCCTCCATTCTTCCTCACCCTATGCTAGTCTATGTTACAAGGGATGTAAATAACCAGTCTTTGTGACTCTGTAGACTGAGCTAAGCAGTGAGCAGTGTGTTGATACGTTGGAAGTCAATCTACATACTTTACAGTCAAAACAAATTTGTGACCAGAATCACAGAAAATATCACAACTAAAAATTATTCAGACACTGAAAAATATAAATAGGAGTCTTGATTAAAAGAAATCCCTTAATATAAAGTTGCTATGGTTGTAATTTGCAGGTTCTCCAGCAAAGTGCCATTTTTGTTCTGGATGTTGAGGAAAAATTGCTTACTAATTTTTATGATGGCCTTTTGATAGAAATAGACAAGCCTAGATATACAAATCGAAATTAAGTTTTATTTAAAATTCTCTCCCTCTTGCTCTTTTACCCCCCACCCTACCATGCACACTGCTGTTTTAAAAATGCTGAACACTGTGATCATTATTTATCAGTTTGAAGACACTGACAGGTTTTGGTTCACACAGAAGGATCAATGCTAAGCAGACAACAGGAAAGCAATTAATTTTGTTATTATAGTCATACACAGAACATAAACCACACGATTTCTCAGAAGCCTGTACTGATTATTTCTCAAGGCAAACAGATCGCCTGAAGATGTTCAGGCCTGAAGGAAAACATCAACAGGATGGGAGTGAGAATAAATCAATTAACAGTTCATTTATTCATTCACTCAAACCACTGAGTGCCAAGAACTGCTCACATCTTAGGGTGAAACAATAGGCACATGGCTCAAGCCAAAACCATCACACTTTCCCTGAAGAATATATTAAATGTACAATTTACATGCTTTAACACTTCAATCCACTTTTCTTTAGAACACTCATACCCTTAACATTGTATAAGAGTGGCTGACTTTTACCCAGTACTCACTGCTTAAGAAATCATAAGGATGAGGTAATCTCACAGCCACTTCTAATCTGGTAATGGTGCCCACAGTAAAGGGGCACACAGTGACTCAGAAGCATGAACTGTCTTTGCTCAGTCACAATGTCTAGAAGCAAGTAGGACTGCAATTGAGCCCAGGTAACCTGATTCTCACCCTTCATTTATTCAGTTCGTAAATGCCCTCCCTCTGAAGAAATAGCTAATTTTTGCAATGTCATCATGTAATGAGACCTTCCGGGGTGAGTTATTTAATCCACTTAAAGGAATAAATTGTTTTCAAGCACCCTTAGGCATCACTGAAGCACCACTTACCTGTTACCCCTTGTTTATTGGTGGAAGGCCAAAAATGAACTGGTTGAAGGAGGGCATAAAAAAACAGACAACTGTTTCCTGCCACCAAGGAACCAAACTGGTATACTATTAATGTTTCCTCATTAGTTACTGGGGAAATTTCTGAAAGATGAGGCTGATTTGGTTATTTTTTGTATATAGCAGGTGCTAAGGAATTTTGTTTGAAAATCTGTCAAATATTCAACTAAAAATCTTAAACTTAGAGTGATATTTAACAGATACAAGCACCTCTTCTGTATAATTGAAAGATTTCAATGGCTTTAGGAATAAATGATGAGAAGACATTCTCTCAGGTAAACACACTAAGAAATTTGTAAAATTTATGCCTGTGTATACTTACCTTTTGACCAAAATTATTTATTCTTAGTATGCAACACGATGTATTAAAAGACATTGATGTTACAGAACAGGAATTCAAATTAATCAGCATCCTTCCTTTCTTCATATATTACCTTTATTATTACTTTTCATCTAGGGAGAATGCTGAAAAATGTGGCTGATAGGAATCATCAAACAGCAGGCACTGTTATTAACAGCAGTCATGGTGTGGCACAGAGATTATGAATTTATTCCACACCAAACTGAAATTTAAGGTGCACATGTCTGAAAGTAGCTCAAATCCTTGTGAACAGGGTCAGCAGGATGCCTCGGCAGGTGTCTTAGCTCCCTTTCCTACTGCTGTGATAAAATGCCCTGACAAAACAACTGAAGGGAAAAAGGGTTTATTCAGCTCACAGTTTCCTGCTACAATCCATCATGACAGGGAAGTCAGGGAGGCAGAAGCTTGAAAGGACTGGTCACATTCATCCATGGTCAAGAACAAAGAGTGGATTAATGATCGGCTCCATATCTCCCCACATATAACTCAGAATCACCTTCCCAGAGAGTGATGCCAACCATTGTGAACTGCCCTCAGTTAACACATAATCCCTCATTGGCATGCCAACAGACTAGCTCAGTCTAAGCAGTCTCTTCTAACACTGCCATCTAGATTGTGTCAAGTTGAAAACAACTAACCACCAAAGTGAGTAGATATGCTTTCTGTTCAGCCTGAAAGCTTTCATTTGATCCCCAGAAACAACATGATGGAAGAACCTACTCCTGCAAATTCTTCTCAGGTCTCAACATATATCTACATATACACACATCTGTATATATACATACAAACACCAAATAAATAAATACATGTAAAAACACTAGAAACCTCTTGAACAACTCAAAAGTTTGTATGTGGAGCACAGCTGCCTATCCTTCCAAAGCAGACACGATAAGGAAGAGCAAAAGCAAAAACAGTCCTTGACTTAATTGCAACCTCCAGTTGCAATGGAATATGTTGTTGCTTAAGGTACGGTGAGTAAGGCCCTGTGATGCAGGTCTGGGACAAAGCAACACTGCCTCAGGCTTCAGCCTCAGCAATGCATTAGAAGCAATGTAACAGTGTGTCATAATCACAGAATATTCCCACAAGGGCTTATTTAAAACTTTGTTCCATGGAAAGCAGAGACCTTTACACAAAACAGTGATCTGTGGTTTATAAAGTGAGGAGGCTCATCTGGTAAAGGCACTTGTCACCAAGCCTGATAACCTTAGTTTGATTCCCTGAGCCCACTTGGTGGAAGGACGAACCCACTGCTTGGGTGGTTCTCTGACTTCCCCATGCACACTGTTTTGGGCTTGCATGTGTACGCACACTAAGTAAATACAAAAACATGTCTTGAAATGTACACCATTAGCTCTGCACAGCAGGTGCCCTGAGAGCACCTTTGGTATATATGGTAGAGACAGTCCCAGTGCTTGCTCAGAAGACAGTTCTCCCAATTTGGCAGAAGGGTTGTGCTGTCTGCGAGTGCCCATGGAGTCTCTCACTTTACCTAGATCTCTGTTCCATGACATTTCCCTTGTAACACTCCAGGAACAAACTGTCCATTGGAACACAGGAGATGAAATAGGGCTTGTGAAGATTATAAGTGAAATTCTGAATATTTGATAACCCTTCATGTCTTATTTCCTTACTCCCTGGAAGTTTCTAAAAATTGCTTTTAGGTTATTTTGCGTGTCTCATCATACAATAGTATGCTCATGTATTCTCCTTGCTCCCAAATGAGATTATAGGCAAGGTGACAAAAGGTTATTTGTTGAAACAGTATCAGGCATGTGTCTTTTTAGTACAGCAAAACAGACAAACTAGGGAAGGAGGAAATTGAATCAGATGTTTCTGATTAAGGAAGAAAGCAGGGGTCAGAAAGTAGGGGCAACCCTGGCTACAGCTTCTTGAGTCTAAAAAGTAGTAGGTGGAATTTACCAACTACACGTCTTTTATAAAGTCAAGGAGTCAAAACACAGGCAAATTGTGGTTGCTGAGGGCTGCCAGAGCATACAGCTGTGTCATTAAAGGAAGAAACGCTAAGTAGTCC